GATGAGCTTCCATCTGGGAAAATCCAACGCTTGAATGACTGGTCGTTGGTGGAGGAAAGCGGCGCTTCGGGTAACGATCTCTCTCGTGGAGATGAGCTTCCACTTGGGGAAATCCAACGCTTCAGTATGTGCTCTCGATGGTGGAGAAAAGCGTTTACTTGGGGATTCAATGCTTCGGGTCTTTGGGTCTCGCTGGTGGAGATGAGCTTCCACGTGGGAAAATCCAACGCTTCGATGACTGGGTTTCGTTGGTGGAGGGAAGCGGCGCTTTGGGTAACTGGGTCTCGCTGGTAGAGATGAGCTTCCACTTGAGGAAATCCAACGCTTGGATGACTGGGTCTCGCTGGTGGAGGAAAGGGTTCACTTGTAAAAATTCAACGTTTTGGGTAACTGAGTTTCGCCGCTGGAGATGGGTTTCCACATAGGAAAATCCAGCGCTTGAACTACTGGGTCTCGTTGTGGAGGAAAGCTTTTACTCAGGTTATGCTCTTCCGTGTGGAAGAGAAAGCTTTTAGATAACTGGGTTCCGCTGGTGAAGATGTGTTTCTGTTTGAGGAAATTCCACTAGCGGTAACTGGGTCTCCTGTTGAAAATGCTTCTGGGTGATCACTAAAAAATGGGGCACCTAGAGAATAAATGTAGATTTCTCAAAAAAGAAAAGTGATTAAACTTTCCATTTTTGCTAGATATTAGAATATATTGTTCTCTTTCAGAAAATACCTATATAAGGTCATTTACATACGTAATAATTTTTAGAGTGGCTGAAATGCAAAGCTAGTCACTTTGACAAATTATAAACTTTGGGCAGTATCTGCGCAGTGAAACATGTGAGACCACCCAAAGTACCACTGCTGGAGTGGGTGGTGGAACAGTCACTAAACCCACGACAGCTTGATGGCCTCAACTTTCAAAGTCAGGAGATATAGCCATTAGTAGCTTCGAGAACAAAGATACGGGTTATGCAATTTTTTGCAGGTGAACGCATGTTTTCTACGCGCCATCTGATAAAGCTTTTTACGCTCTATCCATTCTTATGCAGCTTACCTCACATTTCATCTATCTTCGAAAAATACAGATTGAAAATTGATTTACTGGTTTTTGTTGCGCCAAAAAATCGCGATTTTTCAGGTGTTTCCTTTTTTAACCCAGAAATAGAAAGGTATCCTGTATGTTTAATATATTGTTTGAAAGAGCATGAAGAGCTCTTTCGAATAGTATATCAATTGCTCTATAACTTTGCGGTATGGCAGCGCAAGAATGAGCGATGTTCAAAAAACCCTGTTCGAGTCAGGGCGCCACGCGTAGGGTTGTGGGAGAGGAGCGTTGAAGCTTTGCCAGAATAATAGGCGAAGGTTGCTTATATAAGCGACGTTAACGTTGCAGCCTGCTTGTTGCTGATCTAAAAAAAATCTCAAAATTTAATAAAAAATCAAGCTGCCCCATTTTTTAGTGATCACCCTAATAATTGGGGCTATACGCTTGAGTAGTAGGTCCGGTTGGCGAGCTGGTGAAAATGAGCTTCTGCTAGGTAAAGCATCAATTATCCTATAGGAAAGGCGGTTGGGAACGAGCGCCTATTTAGAAAAATTTGCTTTTCTTTGAAGAAAGTGCAGCTGACTCTTCAGAGAGGTCACTACCGGGGGTGACTTGGTGTCGCTGTATCGCAAAATCCGTAGAAGAAAATTGTTATGGGAGTGCGTGTTGAGGAAATTCTGTTCTTGTTGAAAGCGAAGCGTGTGAGTGAGGATCTCATTGATGGAGGCCATGCTTTCAAGCGAAAGGAACCTTTTCGGGAAGTACGTTTATTCCACAGATTTTCCAATATCTCATAAAAATCTGCTTTGTAGACGTTTTCATGGGGAAACCTCACCTATACTTGTAGAAAAGCGAGTTATTGACGAGTCCCGCAAAATAAAAAGGCTCAAAGTTCAGGGTAGAGTATCAGTCCAGAAAACTTTTTCAGATGCTTCCACCCGATAAGGAGTCTACCTTGGAGCAAATTTGATGATTCGGCGGAAATTATGTTCAAGTATTAGGTTGTCCGGAAAGTAATGTCCGCTCTGAATTCCAACCGCAATAAGTCATACACTTTTCATTCTTAAATAGGCTTCAAAGTACCGTTCGATAGAGCAAAGCAAGCTCTACAAGACGGCCGTCTTGCTTTTGCAACAGCTCTCATCCACCTCGAGTTTCGAGCCAAAAACTAAAAAGACTCAGCAGCCCGAAAAATTGGGAAAAATCATAACTCAATTTATAAGAGACCTAGAAAAATTCCAACTTGCTCACGTAAACATTATCCACATAAGACATCTATGTAAGCGGTTGCCGTATTTTTTCCTTTGTTAGAAATCAAGAAAACGGAAATTTTCACGCTTTTGCCAAAGTGATGCTGTGCCGTCCCCACATAGATAGTTGTATACCACAAGCCTGTAGAACTACAGACTTAAATTTTCAGCTCTCTACGAGCTTCAGTTCTCAAGAAATTTGGATTTTAGCTCGGACCACCTGACTAATGAAAGCTATATTCGATATTTCTCGAGAACTAAAGCTTGTAGAGAGCTGAAAATTTACGTTTGTACATCTACAAATTTGTAGTACACATCTACTTATGTGGGGACGACACAGCATCACTTTGGCAAAAGCATGAAAATTTCCGTTTTCTTGATTTCTAACAGCAAAAAAAATTACGGCAACGGCGTACATATATGTCCTATGTGGATAGTGTCTACGTGAGCAAGTTAGAATTTTTCTAGGTCTCTTATGAATTAAGTTATGATTTTTCCCAATTTTTCGGGCAGTTGAATCGTTTTAGTTTTTGGCTCGAAACTAGAGGCGGATCAGAGCTGTTGCTTAAGCGAGACGGCCATCTTGTAGAGCTTGCTTTGCTCTATCGAACGGTACCTTGAAGCCTATTTGGTAGTCAAAAGTGTATGACTTATTGCGGTTGAAATACAAAACGGACATTAATTTCCGGACAACCTAATAAAATAAAATGCAGGAAGATATCATTGAGATGCACAAACCTCCAAAACATATGCTTCGATCCACTTATAGCGACCCGCAGGGTCGCTAGTATAGGATAAACATATGACTAAGAGATCGAATTGAAGAAGAGAGCGGGTAATTAAAAATGAGGGGGTGGGGGCGGAGATTCGGAGGCGATGTTATTGAAGAGGCAGCTGCAAAGCTGCCTCAAGTCCGAACCTCTCCGTGGACGGGGCATATTGCTTTATATAGCCCCGAGGCGAGCTTTGAGGCGGGGCGAGGGAGGCGAGGAAGATGGACCAATAGCGCAGATAGTTGCGCTTTTCCTACACGCAATTTATGCAAAATAACCAATTACAACAATTTTGTCATAGACTGAGAGTATCCATGTCAACCTTTTGGTACAGTCGAGTAGATTTTTTCCTTAATATATTGCACTGTAGGTGAAATGCGGTAGAATTTGCGCGTGAAGATATCTTAAGCGGAAAATCTACTCGACTGTAGCTAGTATTTTCTAGAACTCTAGCCATTTTGACACCCCGAGTGCAAATACAGATACTGTAGTAGTAGAAATACTGTAGCAGACAAAATACTGTAGTAGACAAAAGTCGAGAAATGCTACACAGGATGACTTTTTATGACAATGTGAGAAAGAAGATACACAAAGTTGGAGATGCAAAAAAGAAGTCAAAGTACAAGGAGGTTGCCGCGCTCCGCGGACAAAATCCTGACCAAGGGCGAGTGAGCCACAGTAAATACAGTCTGCCCCAATCTTAACCAGGCCAAAATCGGCATGGCAGGAATCCGCGCCGCGAAGGTTTCGCGCCACATCTGCGGCTAGCTAGTCTGCTCTCTCCTCGATCTCTTCATTCTCTGCGACAGCGCGCGTATGCAACGCAATCCCGTAGCGCTGCGAGCGCACAAATTCAGCCGACGGTTCGGCCTGATCCCGATTGGGGCAGACTGTAGGTAGCTGTTCTCCTCGAATACGTCCAACGCATGTCAAGAGGTACGCCGCGCGTGGCGGCCGCTCTGCCGCGCTTGCCGCGTTCGAATCTTGGGACCTCCAAAGCCCTCTGCAGTCAAAGATTCCCGGCGGCAGAAACACGGGGGCGAGGGTGGGCGGAAGTACATGACTCGATGCCACAAGTAATAACATTTCGCCGATGCCACAAGTAACATTGCGCCAGGAGTGCTGCTGTTGTATTGGTTCAAGTATGTTAGGAGCCGCTTCGCGAAAAATTTGCGCCGATCGTACCTCTTGACCGTTCCCCCGTCCAAGCCAATGAATGCCCAAGTCGCGGCGCAATATGTCGCTTCGGACGAAAAAATCGCTTCGGAATAGCAAAGATGCGCGAAGACCCTCATCCATGCCCGCCCCTCCCCATCCATGCCCGCCCATTTGTTCGCGCCCATCCAATCACCGTTCCGGAAACCCGTCCTGGGGGTTCTTCGGAACGGGGATTGTCGGGATTTTCGCATTCTCGATTTCATATTCGGAATCAGGGACATGAGAATGCCCTGAAACGACAAAAACCTGGGTCGAGAATCTGGGTGGACGGTGCCTTTAGGGATCGTTCAGACCGCGCACAAAGGCACCCGCCACACTTGATCCGCTTAATCCACATGATCCGCTTGATCCGCTTCATCATTGGTCAATTCAGTGAACTGACCAATAGTGAAGTTGATGAAGTGAATCAAGCGGATCAAGCGGACAACCGCTTCGCTATTGGTCAATTCACTAAGTCGACCTATGACGAAGCGGATCAAGCGGAACAAGTATGGTGGGTGCCAAAGGCGCCCAAAGGCGCGCGTCTTGTCTCGCCTCGTTTATCTCGACACGCACACTCACTCATACGAACCTTCGTGCGTCTTCATGCGCCTTCGTCCGCCTACGTGCGCCTTCATGGGCCTTCGTGCGCCTTTGTGCGCGGTCTGAACGATCCCTTAATGGGTCATGTCCCTCAATTGACATTCAAATACCTGGATTTATTGTCATTATTTGCGAGGTTTCAGGATCTGCAAAGTGACTGAAAAGCCCTGCAGCTTCGTAATTTTTTGCTTTCCTCTCGGGCATGGCCAAAAGACGACGTCGGTCGTCAGGAGGAAAAGATGGCAACTGTCATCACCAGTCTGCGAAGAAAAGAGAAGTCCTTGAAGATATTTCTACGGAAAAGTATCGTTTTCGAATTAGTTTCACTCCCTGGGTTCGCTCGATATTTGCAGGACCTCTGCTAAATCAGACCGTTGTAGTTCCTCCGGTACTGATACGAAAAGGTGATGTTTCCGTTTAACCCATAGGGCTGCTCAGCTTCTGTAACAGCTTTTTTTCAGCACCGATGGCGCTACTACTGTTAATAAACGAGATCATGCAGTGTGAGTTAATATTGATTTTTGCTTCTTACTATCGAATTATCTGTATATAGAGGTGTTTCATCACAAGAACTAAGCTCGGTAATGCAACAAATCAAACTCAGTTCATCAGATCCGCCACCAAAGAAGTCAGTAAGTTTGATTCGAGTTTTAGATAATTCTGAAGTTTTTGAAAATGTAAAAGTGCGTAATGAAATGCATGCGGTTTAAGCAAGGGGACAAGTGATGTGTCACGCGCTACACGGAAGGGTAGTAGAGGAAGAAGTTCGAGGAGATTAAATAAGAGGAACAGCCACGCCAAGGAGAATTCTAGGTGTAGTCTAGGAATCGATCGTCTATCAGCATGATATCTTGATCTTCAGTCAGAAACAGTCAACTGCATCTGAAAAAGACGATGAGGTTGTACACGATAGCCAGGAAGCAGTAGATTCTCCTGCAGAGGTAGGTCACTCCTTTTTAGAAATTCAAAAGTTTTTGATTTTGCAAATCGTTTCCCCCAGGTTTTGTGATCGCTGTGTCTGCTTTGGAAAAAATACTCTTGTTAGATGACTTTTTAGCCTTCAGATGAGAAGCTCTTGAAGGAACCCGCAGAGATACTTGCCCTGTACAAACGCCTCACCGGTATCGAGCGCAAGCCTCCAGAGAAAGTAGGGGATCCATTGCGAAATGGTCGGTCGTCGATATAGGTTTTTCGTTTGACTTTTGTCCAGACTGGCTAGTTCTAGAATATCGACAGCTGTTTTGCGTTGGAACCATATGTGAGAATCTGAGTAACATAATGACCGCACGACTTGCATCAGGTTAGTTTTGACAGTGCCATAGGGGAGATTCACACCAACGCTTTCAGCGGGACAACTTCGGAAGCAGCGTTTAGATTCTCTAACTCAACTTAAAGCCTTGACTTCACGACTCGAGGATATGAACAATGCTAATTCGGCGATAGAAAAGTAGTAAGTGTTTCTTCAAAGAGGAATGTTCTTACTACTGGTTTCTCTTCCGTCTTTGTTTTGATGATGGTGCTCAACGGGACGCTCTCGAGGTAATGAACATCCGATACGAAGAGTTATGTGATGATATCTTTGGCGTAGGTTAATCAGTTCTGAGTTGAGCGGTTTTATGTTCACAGTTTCAGGCTGATGACGAGTTTTTGTCAATGTTCGAGAAAGAAGCGTCTAATGCGGAAGATAAGGAGCGGTCGTTCACTCAACCGGGCGCTTTACATGCGGGTATTCAATCAGACTATGCCGTTGTTTGCATGGAAAGTAAATTAACGGTAATGAATCACATAGCTTATCAACTGCAGTGTCGGCTGCACCAGCTCTCTTCTCCCGGGCGGCCGCCTCACCTGCCCTCTGCGTCTCTTTCGCGGATGTGTTCTCTATCATTTCCTCACCGCTAGCGTAGGAGAGGCGGAGCCTCAATCGATCAACGATTGGAGAGCATGTTTGCTGAAGAGGTGCAGAGTCCAGCGCGGAACAAAGATACTAGTGCACCCGACACTGCAATTGATAAGCAGTGTCATATCATCAGTGGTAAGCCGTGGACGATAATTCATTCAGGAGGTGGGACTACGTTATGTGGATAAAATGTATGAACAAATCAAGCAGAAAAATGCAGAAGTTGAAAAATGTCGCTCATTGAGTAAGTCTGAAGATTGAAGTGTTTGCACAAATGCAGTTTTCATTTTTGCTTTCAAGTTTTTCCCTTTGTTTTTGGCATAACTTGATTGTTTTGTGTCCAGCGGTTGCGGCTTCACTAAGCCAAGGCATTAGCATGAAGAGATGACTGTCAGCTAGCTGACATCCTTGTAATTATAAGCGCGATACGCTAACTCCTAACTGCATGCACAGGCTCTAAAAGAACAAGTACATACGCCATGTTTCCATTCCTATCTTTTCATGCAAGTTTACGATGAAGTCTGCACATGGCTTTTTTTTTCTTGATTTGGATCTATTCGCTATCAGCAGCAGTATGTTGACACCATATTGAAGGCGTTACTTATAGTCATTAGAAACTTAATGGTACCTAAATGAAGTAGTGGTGGTTTCGCTTACATATTGAACATAAGCTTCCACCAAATCACTGCTTCATTTGAGCGCGTGAAAAGCTGTTTTGAATGATCCAGCCGCACACTCAGTTCGCATAAAAACTGTTGAAATCTAACTCAAAATATCTAAACTATGCGCACTGTGCGATCGAAAATTTGAGAGGTCCGTTGCTGTTACATTCTCAAAAGCATTATATAGTCACAAAATGATGAATGAGATAGATTTTATTTATAGCCAGTGCTTCACCTCTGCTTCGCAGAGGTTCGCACTGGCATCGTGAACCGTGGTAAACTCACTTTCTGAGAGCTTGTCTCTCAAATCATTGTTCTCTTTATTGCAAAGTGAGCCGTAGTTAAAAATGAACCATACTCGCTATCTTAACCTCACATGATGTTTAGTATCGTAAATCATTCCTCACTGTAATTTCGTAACGGACAAACTCCACACAACTTCAGATTAAGCCGCTTATTATAAGTCATGATAGAAATTTTGCTTGTCTATGTGCCAACGCAGAGGATATGTTTCAGCTGATTCTAGTAGTGTTACAGTTGCTCAACATAACGCCGATATCACGAGTATTACTTCCGAACTCATCAGTATCCATGAAGAACTCGGTAGTTTGGCTTCCGTTGTAGACACAGCCATAGGCGTATCTCCTTCTGAATATTCAAGAGCTTCTATGACCAAGACAAGGTCAGCATAGACTGTAGATTTGATTTTGAATGCCTAGTCATAATAATCTTATTGTTTGTTACACTCGTAAATTCGTAGTTCTCTTTGTTGAAATGCCTCTGCTGTATCATAATAAGCTATTTGCAAAATCTGTGAATTTGAAGTTTGCCCTCTGTATATGAATGTTGTAAGTTCACTGTTCCCTCTTTTACTTTTCTGTTTATTTGGAAATGTTCTTGTGCAAGCCTTTGTTATGCTAACGGGGAAATGGTCAGAACTTAACCCAGCCATTCCAAACAAGTTGTACCTCATCGGACTCGTCTTAAAACGCTGATTTGAAATATACGTTTTTTACCTGAATTTTTTCGAGTTCCGACGAATATATTTCAAATCTATTTCATGGAACATGCACAAAAGAACAATGAAAACTCGCACATTTAAACGCTCATAATTCCTCTCAGATAGTCGCTTGCAGATAGTGCAGATAGTAAACATACACTTGTAATCAGCGTAACTTTACTGCTCCTTGAAGGCGGGGCTTACCCAAAGCGGATGCAAATGCCCCTTGTAGGTTGCATTATTCGTGAACCCGTCGTGAACCTCTTGCTACTGCTCCATACGAAAAGCTTCGAGAGCGGATCAGGCCTGACGGGATAATCTCGCCCATCTACAGATTTCCAAAAGTGTGTACACCGCAAAGCCAAGCTGATAAGGTCTTACAGTCCTGCTGTATAGGAGAAGAGGGGTTGTCAAAGAGTACTTGCTTCTCCCAGCTGAACCCTGCAGGCCCTGGATGCCAGACCTCCTGATAGTACGCTGACATTTTGAATAGTTATTTGTGCTGCAATGATAAAAGCAGAAAAGCAAATTCCTGTTTGCAAGGAGCAATGCCTGCAACTTTCATGCCCTTCTTCTTGTTAATGAGTTCATACAATTACATTTTCTCGTGCTACATCAAACACCAAACCAACACCTTTATGCATTCCATTCTGTAGAAACGCTATCAAAAACAACGCAATGCAAAATACAATCACACTCGGAATGCCGGATTACTAATGAATAACATTAGAAAATAATCGCTGCTTTTGTATCACAAGTGATTCTTCAATGCGGTCAGATGAAATACATGCGGCTTTTGAATTTGTCTGTCACCGAGACACATTCTTGTAATGCAGCGTCAGAATTCGACTGATTCGCATTGATATCGCCTGAAATGTGATAGTTGACTGGAAATATCACTGTAGGCAGTCGTCTGGACTTACCGGCTTCAAACTCGCGGCGTCTTCGCGGACGACCAACTGACATCAAAGAGGATAGCGATGAGATCACCGAGCCGGTTTCAGACAAGCCATCGGATTCATGGACACCACTGAATCGAGGTAATTATCTACATAATTTTGCGATGCTCACCAATTAGGTTCAGAGGAACGCCATTACCCTATTTCGTACTATTGTAGTTGTTGTGAAGGCGTCCACCGCACGGACGGTCGTAGATTGCGAAGCACACGCGGCTTGCTGAAATGTCACTAGGGCGCGACTTGTACACTGGCGATTTATACTGGTACAAGCGATTGGCGCGCGGCGCGTGCTCCCCTATTTACAGTCAGTCCGTGCGGTCAGCGTCTTACTGGAATCGAGACCGACTTACAGTTTTCTCTTTATATGACATCTAGCTCTGGTTGCTACTAAATCCGCATAATAAACAGGGGCGGGGATAGAAACGGAGCGTGCACAACGTCCATATGTGTGACACATTCTACAAGTAAATGAGTTAACATCTGAGCTCCTCATAAGTTGGAGTCTGCTCACCCATAAGTGATTGCCTGCATTTCATCTGCACTAAAATTGTTGTCATCCCAAAGGACATGATATCGAGCTGGGCGAGAAGTGCCTTGTACGCCATAGTGTGAGCACAAATAGAAATCAAAGCCTTCAGGCGAAACGATTCCGGTGTCGACAGTGGTGCCAGGCGGGATATTTCTGGCTTTTCCAACCATATCCGTACTGTATTTGCAAAACATTCTGGCATGATGACGTTTCTGGACGACTACATAGGTGATTGGAGGACGATAATCTGGTGACAGAATCATGCATGCTGAGCGGATACCCTGAAAATTCCGAATGGTTGGCGGTTTTGGACCAAAAATCAGACCTGAATCTCTTCTCGGAGTACTTCAGCAAATTGTCCTTCAGAGACTCCATCACGGTAGACAATGATGCGGGTTGGTTTTTGATTTGTGTTCCTGAATGCACCATTTATACTTCGCAGTCGTAAGCGACAAAGTATAGCCACCAGAGTAGCAATATAACCTGTAGAAAGACACCAAGCGTTCGCGAATGGCGTCGAGGAGGTAAACCACAGATTCCCGGCATTTCCTCTGGACTTTGACGTTAGCTCCATACGACTGTGGTAGTAGATCGATGTTGGCGACAATCTGTAATAATATTTTCTTTGAGAAACGTGCAAAGCTCATGTGTCCGACGCCGCGCCGACGCCGTGTCAACGTTGTGCTGGAGTCATCTCAGTTCCATGCCAGCTCCCCGCAATCCATGCGCCCTCATATCGATCAGTCAAGTTTCTTGGTACAATCGACACTCGTCATCACGGGCCTGGCACGGCACTGGAACGGCACTGGCACGTGGAACTCTGGATGCAGATTTATTGGCATCAGAAGCAAGCATTTCCCTACCGCTGCCACCGACGGTATATTCATACGCTCTTCGGCTTGTGTTGGATGTGTGACATCGATTCCGACTACTAAAGTTGGCTGATCTATGATGTATTTGTGGGTGATGTTATCAGCAACTATACGACTGTTGATACCACCAAGTTTCATGTTGACCTGAAGATTAGGTTATTAGGGAAGCAGATGTAGGGCAGCCAGAACCTTGAGAATGATGTTGGAACAAGTCGCTGGTGATGGACGTTGAACATTTTTCATCAGAACACATTGAGACATAATTCCGTGTATCATATCCGAGCTTTCTTTGACGGTCACTGAAAGAAAAACTCAGAATTTGTAGCTTTTGGTGGAACAGGATCGAGCGGTACATACTGTAGATGTCCGAATTCTTCCCGGGTAGCACTACGATTACCAGATCGCAGCTTGTACTGGTCTGCTTATACTCATTGGCTATTTCGTTGAAAAGCACAACCACATCGTCACGACCACGACCATACTTGACAAGATCTGGCCACTTCGGGAAGTCCATGCCCATTTGGGTAGCCTGAAAGTGGGGAATACACTACGGACTGCGATGCGATTGAAGATAGCTATCTACCTTAGCGTAAAGTGCTTGGCAAAATCCTTGCAGCAAGTTTTGATCTCTTGGATTCACCAAAGCTATCATTGAGTAGCTTCCACAAGTGGCTGGAAGATATAGCGTCTGATTGTCCATAGACCAAGCGCCATCTTTTGGATGAACGATCGGATCCTGTAAAAAAAGCCTAGGATTTTTGAAGATTTATGGGACCAACGTTGCCCACCACCATCTTTGAATTGTCTCCAAACATGATTTGTGGTGGTTGGATGACTCTAGCCATGGTTTCGAACATTCTGGGTGAGACGGAAAGCCCAAACTCTTTGAGGAATGGGTCTCGGTCAAAGCCAGCTTGTTGGCAAAGCTGAGCAATGCGTTCCTCTCGCTGTGAAGCATCAACCGCGGCTGCCTAAATTTGGATTGCTGGCTTTGGGGCTATAGCGAGGGCTGTTCGGTCTTACTCTGATGATGGAGCTCGTTTGCTTTTCACTGAGCTTTTTGTTGTATTTCTGAGGCGTGTCCATCTCGCAGACTTCTAGTGGGAAGAAGATATTTCTTGTGGGCGGACCAACATGAAGACATGGAAGTTTCGGGAAGCGCAATTCCTGCAGCAAGAGCTTTTTGAAAGTTATCAGAATTTATTAATTTTTGGCGGCTGACAGCGTATTTTTCTGCAAAGTACTGAGCAACTGATTTGATTGTCTCGCGCCCATCCTCGGTTACACCCTTGAACCTGAAAATTTCGCATGAAGATGGTCCCTTGGTCATGACAATCGCTCCAATGGCTTACGTTAGCTGATCAGCTGGCATTTGGAGACTATTTACACGATATACCCGAACTGCTCCCTTCCTATGCGATATGCGAATCTTGATCCCTTTTACGGCTTCAGCAAGAATCTTCATTTCATGGTTAGAGAGCGAGAACTCCTTGTAGAGGGTACTTGGCTAAAAATGACGCATTGTCATTTCCTAGTACTCATGAGAGTCGGTCGAGACTTACCGATAACATCCCAGAAGACTCTTCATGTTTCTGAGGTGGGGTATGTTGTGGTCGTGCTGGATAAGTATGGTAGCCTCCACGGCCAGCACTTGCTGCGACTCCACCGCGAGTCGCGCTGTATGTTCTTCCCGGCTGGTTAGTATTACCGTAATTGTTTCTGGAGCTAGAAGACTGGTTACGGTACGCGCCAGCTCGTTCATTCAACACGTCGCACATGAATTGTACCATGGAGATTTTCGCTTTGTAAAATGCTGTGTGGGCCACTGAAATTTGTTATTCGATCTTGAACATTAGGCCTCAATAGACGTGATTTACCATCGATGTTCAGTAATGGCTTCCAACCGCTTGCAACATGAGCTGATGAGAAGAACCCCGTCCACATCTCCTTACCACCTTCCAAGTCAAGAGCCAAAGCGCCGTTGATAGGAATACGATAGCAGGAAGACTTCCATGAGTAGAAATTGGCCGCATTGCTAAATGCGTTTCTTTTAGAAAAAATACCTCTCATAGGTAAGATTTGATCTACTCGATGAATGGGCAAGTCAAGCTTTGTCGACAGACGATATCCAAGATCTGTATGGGAGTCAAAACCCTTTCGTCCAAGTTATTAGTGCGGGTACGGCGCATCTCGATCAGAACTGGTCCAACACACTGAAATTTACTTTGCGGATTCAAAATAATGATTTGTAATCTTGCTCGACATCTATACCTGGAATGATACAGCACATGGAGTACGTTCTCGTGAATCTTTCGCCAACGGAACATCAGCTTCTAAGCGCATCTGAAGAAGCAGTCATGAAGGATGGGCACGCTGAAAAGTAGATCAAAGGAAACCTACAGAACTCCGTTTCTCCGGAAACTCAAGACGATAAGGAGTGTATAGTTGGTGTGCACCATCGAATGCAACGGCAAATTTATTGGCGAAAATTGCTGGGTGATCAGCCACAACTTTCCAGAAGATGGCGCGATTTTCGTCTCTGGAGAGGAAAGCGCTTGTAGGAGCTACTGTGAATGTAGCGAATTTCAGCTTAGAAAATTAACGGACTA